GTCAGTAGCAGAGGCCAGCGACCTTATTATGTTTCCACTGCTAACGGTAATCTCAGGGGGCGGTTGGTCGAACAATGCGTTCGGGTCCGGAGGTCATCATCGTGCGCACACGTCGCGACCTGTTGCTATCCGGCTATTGGTGATCCAAGCCTGTAAACAACTAAACACCATGAGTCCCTCCAAGGGGGCAGCTGGTTACCATGACGTGAACCACGTTCTTCGCCAGGTTGACCAGCTCCGGCCTCCAAACGAGCCCTCCATCTCGCTCAAAGAGATGCTCGACATCTGCGACACGGAAGGCAACACACAAAACGGCGGGGGCTCATTCTTAATCAAGAACGACGAGACCGGCGAATACGTCAAGTTCGAGTCAGATACCAACAGCACAGCCTCAGGCCACAGAGGCAGCATTGTACCCGGTGAAATCGGCAGTCCTGTTCCAAGCAGTAGCATACCAGCATTCGGCGGCATCGGCAGCACACCATCAGTGCTACGACAATTTTCTTCTCCACCCACGGGGTTCTAGGCGTTAGCGGGGCTTTATCACTCTCACACACAGCATTCAATTCTATCTACCACTGGAAATGGGGAATCTTTGTTCTTTTTATTTTTGCTTTTTACTTTTTACTACTTGCGATTTGGGAATGATTGATCGCTGAAATGCCCCCTCTGTCCAAGCGTCATGTCATGTGTTCCACGTCTTTATCATACGGTTTCCCACTTGATGGTCTCGCTTTCTTTCTTCTCTTGTTCCTTTTTTTTTTACTACCTGTTCGAGTTAATCCTCGCGCACGGGCATTATCATGTCTTGTATGGCTTATTGCAGAGATTCCCATGGAGCAAACGTCCCTCCGTGTCAAACAATTGCACGATCGATTTGATCTCACCATGCTTGTTCTCGTCATAGTTGCTAGTAGCCTACTGTAATGAGATATCCGCATCGGAAGAGCTTGAACAAGTTACTACAAAGTAAACTACTGCCGTGGTCACATGGCATATTAACCCTCTCCGTCACTCATTGGTTTAAATTTTTTTTTCTTGCGTAACCGGTCAAATTCTATTATGACAATAATAAAAAGTGAATATTGGGTATGATAGTCTGACGAAGGACAACAGATGATGATACACCTATACGATCGTATCACAAAAATAGCAGGTTGTGAATTAGAAGAGAGAGGGCAAGGGAATCTTACAGGTTTTGCATGCTAGGAGAGACGAGACGAGACACGGAAAATAAGCGGACAGGTATTTCATCAGGGGGAAAAAGGAAACTTCAAATGGAACAAAGATCGAGAAGAAAAAATGTATACACGCATCATGTCATACAATCATTCTCACTGCTTAGCCTCCGTCACAACACCTTCATACTCTCTTGACCGGATGTAGTCCAGTGTGCGCTCGAAGTGGCGTCTGGGACCCTCCAAGCTGGGGTTTGGCTCATCCTCGTCCGTTTGCAGGTTAGAGTGGATGAGCTCGATAAGGCCGTTGAGATATTTGGTGGTTACGGTTTCGTTCTGTTGGTCGAAGTAGTAGACGTAGCGGTTGAGGATCTCGACGAAGAGTTCGACGGACACAGCGGTGTCCATGCAGGCGTCTGCAACGCGGAGAGCACGTTGGAGACATTCAAGAACGCGCTTGCCGTCGCGGTAGAGCTGTTGACCAGTTAGCCTTTTGATAGAGGAAAAATAGGATTGTCTGGGGCGGAAACGTACGTTCTTGGGATCTTCATCGTTTCGTTGTGGGTTTTCGACAACCCACCAGAGGTGGCTGGCCAGGTACACCGCTCGGCATTGATCGGGTTTCTTGAGCAACTTGCTGCCGTGCAGGGCGGCCTTAGTGATGAGCGTGTCGTAGTTCTCTTTAGAAAATCCCCGGGAACCATGGAGAGCGCCAGCAATAATGCAGACCGCCTGGAACTGAGCACGGGAATCACTGATGGAGTCCTCATAGATGGTAAAAGCTTGTGCGAAGAACTCGTAACTAAACTCCTCAAAGCCTGTCTGGTCGGCCACCTCACCGCACATTACGAATAGACGTAATGCCAGATCAGCACATCCGGGGTTCACACGTTGATAAAGGTTGTTGACACATTGGTGCATGAAGCGGTAGAGCGCCGACGACTGCGACTGCCAGTTGTCATCATAATGCTCGCGGGACTTCAGCTTACGCGCCAGCCGTATCGAAGCAGTGATGAGGGCTGGAGTCGTGTAGCGGATACGCTCGTTACCATCGGCATAGGCTTTACGAGTTGCTTGAAGTAGCTATCAACAAGTTAGCTAGGGCAAAGGGAACAAGTGTGATCTGAACTTCGGCCATATTACCTTCAATTGGGTATCATTTTCTGGAGCTTGGATCAAGTGGATTAACCGCCCAAGCCACCCTTGTTCCTCGATGGTCTCATCAGTCTCACCTCGGCGCTGGGCTTGCAAACCAAGTCCCATAGCTTGTTGTGTTCCTTCCTTGATCAAGACTCTCAACGCTTGTAATACACGGTCCAAGTTCTCGGTAGTGGTGATAAGCGTCCGATTCTTCAGCAGGCTGCGGGCGATCTCACCCGCAACAGACCGCCGCGTAGTATAAGACTGCGCTGTCAAGAGGGGAAGATAGTGTGGCAGAGCCAATGCAGTGAAGATCGAGACGTATGAGCGCAGAGGAGCGACGAGAAGATTTAAAAGGTTCTGCTGTGTCGGAGCAGAGTGCAGATCTGCGTGATCAGCATACTCTGCAGTCTCGCGGGTAGCGAAATCGAGAATCTGGTCGACGTATTCTAGCTGATTGGGGTACGTGTTCAACGCAAGATTAACGAGCGAAACCAGTAGTGCCATGGTATCTTGGATGGGGAGGCCACGCGATTTAATGAGGTTGACCACCTGCCCGTAAAATACATCGTAAAGCTTGACGTCTGTCGGGACTCCAGCCTTTTCATCTTTGTCGCCATTTGTGCTGGGGCTGGGCTCTGCCTCTGCTTCCTTTGCAGTTGCGGCCTCATCCGACTCCTTTGGCGTCTGCTCAACGCCGTTCTCCTGGGCAGCGTTCGCTTCGGCTTCGGCCTCAGCAGGTGCTTCCTTCTTGGACTCCTCTGCGAGTTTCAGGTTTTCGAGGAGTTTAGTAACCGCTTCTTCTTCGTTTTGCTTTCTAGATTCTGGATCAGCAGACGATTCGGTCTCGCGTGCCGCATAGGACGACAAGCGGTCCATAAGACCTATCACGATCTTCTTCAAATCCACATGCGGGTTGAGCCGGGAAATTGCAGAGAGCAGCAGGTCGAGCGTATGAAGGTGGAATTCATCCGGGAAGACCTTTGTAATCACTACAGCACTAATTTAGTACTCCGGCTCATCATGTAATGGCGAATGTACCCTTACCTTCCAGCAAATATTCTTGCGCCAACACGTCCCGACATTGGACAACTTGCTCAAGCAAAGCCTGCAGGATACCGGACTTGTAACCCTCCAGATCAACTAACTGACTAAGCCGGACAACGTTGCTTCCAACCAGAAGCTCCAACTCCCGGCGCTCTTGCATTCTCTTTTCCCGTTCCCGAGAGGGGCCCTGGTGCTGCAGTCGCACCCACAGCTTGTTCATCTCCACGAAGTTGGTTAAGACAAAATTGATCGAGTCTTGCATGTTACCCTCGGGGCCATCCCCGGATCCCGTGGGTAGATGATCCCTTGCCTGTCCGGAGAGGTAGTATCGCAAGAAAAGTCCTCGGATAGGATGCTGTACGCCTCGACTCATCTCCATCATGTCCTTCATGATTTCTTTAATCGGGGCATCCTCCACGGACATGTATACAGTGCCAACAGTGATCATCAGATATAGTCGCGGAATGATGTTACCGGCATATTGGACCAGTTCATACAGGTCCGCCAAGTGGTTGACTGGGTGGTTCTCTTTCAGGTAAACGGAAAGGTGTCGCAGCGCATCGAACACAGCCATGTACAGTTCGTAATATTGCTTCGGACCTAAGCTCGGCGTCCGTAGTTCAGAGACTAAGGTCGACCTGGACCAATTGACAAATCATGTTAGACCCTACACCAGTTGGTTCCACTGCTGCCTGGGGGGGGAGACCGAGAGGTTAAGCTCACCCGCATTTGAGCGCATCCATTAATTTTCCCGGGGTCTCTAGGCATTTTCGCATCATTTGTGACTGCTGCCGCACCACTCCCAATGCCTCCTCAAGGAGACGGCTCTGGTCTTCGGAGGGGGGTATCGGGGTGGCCATCGTGACGGATATGGTGGGAGAGTAGAGGGGAGAGTCGGGGGGCTGAGTATCGGCGGTCAACACCTGTCAAAAATGGCAGATGAGAGGTAGAAGTGCTTCAATGGCAAGGGAGCCGATGGTAAGAGCACTTAAGGGAGAAAGGATCAGGGAAATCCTGGTCCATAGACAGGAGAGAGGGAGGAAAGATTAATCAACAACAGCCGAAGAAGAGGCGCAGTTGGACTAACATGCGATCACATTCGATGGGGTCGCTGCTTGTTGTCTTATGTAAGGGAAGTAACTGACGTAAGGTACCGTACGGAGTCCCCGTACGGCGGGTGCCCGTTCGAGTTTAGCGCGGTCAAGTATCATACAAGTATATGCATCATTCTATTCCCATCTATATACTCACTGGCAATTTCATGCCATCTAAACTATCTAAATATGCCAACCCATAAAGAACTAGTCTGGTAGTTAAAGCAACGGTCGAAAGAAAAAAACAAGTAAACCCACCCGAAAAACAAATATGCCAAAGGAAAGACACAAAACGCCATATGCATATGTCTATCATCATCACATCGAACATCATGTTCAATCATTAAAACAAAACCAGCAAATGAGAAGGAAAGCGTGCCAGTGATCATCCGTCATTTTCATCAATCTTTTCATATCGTACCCGTCATTTCATTGTTCACTTTGCTTATCTTATAAGCGATGAAGTAGCCAATCATTCTGGCCAAGAGACGCAATCTGTCGCTCGCGCACATCCAGGCATATTTTGCATTTTGCATCGGCCTTAAGCCTCAAGCAATGTGCCGTTCGAGCTCCTCTTCACCACAGCATTGCTGTCATGAACGCGGGTGGAGTTGAGGGCATCCCGGAGGTAAAGAACAGCACGGTCAGTGATGTGCAAGTTGCGAGCCCTGATGCGGGAGTTGGTGCTGTTGCTGCGCGTAGTGATGGCGTTGGCCTCGGTACTGTTGCTGCGAGCGACAACAGCAGACGCAGTGTTATTGGTACGGACTGCCAGACGAGAGTTGACGATGTTGCTGCGAGCACCCAGACCTGTAGCAGTACCATTGCCCCTAGCGGCAATCTTGGACTCTGTGCTGTTTCCACGGGCAGTTAAGATGGCAGTACTGTTGCTTCGAGCGTTAAGGTGAGACACGGTGCCATTATGACGAGCAGTAAGATCATGAACCTCAGTGCTGTTGGTAGAGGAAGACCTCCGGAATCTCCGAGCAGTTGCGTTCAGTCCTCGAGCCACGATCGGGGACCCTCCGCTGGGAATGCCAGTTGACAATGGCCCAACGCTCCATGATGAGGGAGAAGGGGTACTGGAAGGGGATGACGATGGAGTGTGGGTGATAGTAATTGTCACCGGGGGCTGTGGAGGAGCGCCAACAGTAATGGTTTCGACGACGGGGGTCGGTTCGGCACTAGGTAGACCGCCAACATTCACAACCGAATATTGACCGTCCCTGCGCGCGAGGGTGTCATTTGCCCTAAGACGGAGGAGAGGAACTGCATGAGCACCAAGCGAAGAGAGGACTAAGAGCAATGTAGAGGTATGCATATTGAAGGGATTGGGAACGTGGCGGAGTTGTAACAGTGAAAAGAGAAAGCAAGGATTAGATTAGAAGCTCTCTATAGAATGAAGAATGAGAATAGTACAGAGGATAATGCCCCAGATAAACTAGGCAAGAGGAATATATCAACCCTGAGAAGAGGAGGGGTGGTCACTAATTTATGATTAGCAACTAGATAGAAAAGCCGGTAGTCCGTAGTCTAGAAGAGACTAAAAGCACTCAATTGATTTAGTCAATATCAAAAATTCATCATCGGACGGCAGAGAGACCCATCGGATGGGGTAATATGCAGGCTGGTGCATCCGCGATGGCCGAGGCGGCAGCCGTCAAAGGAGGCTGGGAGACCCTCGTCCACCCACGAGGGACCGCCAGCCACATTAATTTTAGAGACGATCGACGTCCACGCAATCACTATCACTTCCATGATGTATGTCCGATGTTTATTTTTATTCGGCAGAAGTCTGGTGTGGCTCTGCAGCCCTTCGAGTTTAGGCAGACAGGATTCACATGGAGGTACGTACGGTACATACTTCGGTGGACACGACGAGATAAAATAAGAAACACCTTTTTTTGCCCTGATTCAGTGCCAAGACTTCTTTAGCTGCGGCATCTGTGGCTGGAGAGCCCCACTTGCCGCCTGTGGCGTCGAGCAACGGCCAACGGCCAGAAGTTAATTTACTCTTTGTACAGTATTTTCATTAAGCATTATGCGCTTATGCATGATGCAGAATAGTTTAGAAAATGAGATTGATGCATCACGCTCAACACGCAATGGCCAAGACACGCAGTACATGATTGTAGTGGGAGCAACGTCAAGGCCAACGTCAGCATGTCCTTATATTTCTCCGACGATGCTCGAGTTTAGTATCCGACCGTTGGCGACCCGAGGGTTCGCATATTGCTAACTGTACTCCGGACTGCCTGGACACATGATCTTCTTGAATTCTTGGGTTCGCCGAGGCGCTCTCGACTAGTTGTGCTCCCTTACTCCGGAGTACAGTTATCATGAGACCTACTATGTAATTGGAATGTCGAAATCCCGGTATACGTAAGTTGCGATCAATGTTCGGGTTTAACCGTATGCAACTTGCATGTCACTTGGACCCTGAAAGGGATCTTCGGAATGAACCCTAAGGTTCTGACATGTCCTATCCAGCTCGTCTGATCTACCAAGAGATCCGCAGGATCTATCGAGTCCTGCAACTCTATTTACACACACCGTCTAATTATAGCTCTAGGATTATCGACTGACTTTTTGAAGTACTCAATTATGCAGGAAAACTGTGCACGATACAGAGAACCCCATCGACCATGCAGGACATACGTAATAAGACTAGCGGTCATGAACCTCGATCATTATAACAACAGTCGTTCTCAGCGTAAGATAGGGAGAACAACAACTATGTAAAAAAGTGGTTACGTAGCCAGATCCTCGACTCGAATCAGCCCGCAGCCCATACCAGCACTAGCCCACCCTGCGCATGCCTGGTTTGGATTCCAAGAGAGTGCGGTGACATGCGTTCCCTCTTCATAGATTGTGATCGTCATAACCCCGTTCACCATCTTGCGATCACCCATCATGTTCCGTAGTAGGCTGATGCTCTCAGCGCGGTAGCCATCGTGAAATCTACTGATACCCGAACCGCTTGCGTCGTCACCACGCGCCCACTCGTGCGTAAACCAGGTCTGTTGCCATTGCTTTTCTTTGACGTGCAGCAATCGCCGTAAGGGATTCGTCGCGACTACCGCACCGCTGGTGCACCCGTACATGACGCTGGGATGCCAGACGCTGCATGGGGACAGCGAAGAGACTGTGCTAGGGAACCGAGCTACTGCCGTCGTAGTATAGAATCGTCGCACAGCTAGCAGTCGGGCGAAGTCGTTCTCGTCGCTGGAGAGAAAAGAGTGTAGCAAAGGAGAGTATGTTAAGTACGGTGACCCCACTCGCATACGGTTAGAGTCCACCATGTCTTTTTGCGGGTCTAAAACCGACCAGAGCCGTGTCTCTCCGTCCATGGACGTGGTCGCTATTAGATGAGCATTTGTTGGATAAGCCGACGCTAGATTAAGAACGTATGTAGAATGGATTGGTTGGTAGAAATAAGGGAAAGGGTTTGGTGGAGAATTCGGCGAAGGCACAATGCTCCAAATAGCGACGAACCCGTTGGCACAGCCAACAGCGACATCACTCGGAGAGAGCCATGTTAAACATGTACACAAAGTCGATGGTGGCTTTGCTTCGAAGACTGGAGACTGTACTACGTCTATCGGACAATGTTAATATGATATAGTCCTGCTAACACTTGCACCAAAACTTACAGTACTCAGCCTGATTGGGGTCGCCGCTAAGCTTGATATCAAGGACTCTCAAATATCCATCTCCCCATATACCAGCAAGAAGCCCGACAGATTGCAGGGCGTCATCATCGTCCTCTTCCCGAGGGTCTCGACTCATTGGGCACCAGGCCAGTCGTCTTAGATCGCCCCAATTAGTGCATAAGGCCAGTCGTAGTTTTGGTTCAAAGTTCATATCAATGTGTTTTGTAAGAGACTCCTCCCTCTCGGCCTTGAACATCCAAAGCTGCAAGGCACATGGATACGGAGGGGAGGGTCTAAACGCTCGGGCACCACGGTCCTTGAACGGGTCCGGATACGCTTCTTTCTCCTCTTTTGATATCGGCGTCGAAACAGCCAGATACTGGGTGAGGCCGGGTTGATTTGGAGCCCAAGCCATACACTGAACCTTCTGTCCTAGGTTGATAATCCACCCTTCACGCTTCTTTCGAGTTCGACCGGTAGAGTCTTCCTGTGCAGAAGCTTTACTTTTAGACTTGCCTCCAGTGGCAGGCTTTGCTTTCTCTCGAGCCTTAACCTCCCCAAAAGCATCTCCAAAATTGAAAGACTCATGCTGCCCTAACGTGAACACCTTCTGATCATTAACGGGCCCAATCAGCACTGTATGCTTCTTCTCCTTAGCCTGCGGTATGAACTTCCAGAAAGCTTCTTTCTCAGAGATTGACCCCAGACGCTGGCGCTTCCTAAACCTCCCTCCCACATCATCATCGTAATACCAATCCCACCCTTGCGTCCTCTCCCTCTCCATCTCCTCCGGCTCAACACCAAAAGTCGGCCCAAAGCCACAATCCGGCACATCCGGCGCCTCATTCAGCGACGCACGAGTCGGAAACCCAGAATCAAGGCCCATGGACCACCGCTGCCGCGCATAAACAACAGACAACAGATCCTTCTCATCAGTGCCAAACGTGATCGTCATATGGAGCATCTTGCCCATATGCTCCATCGAGCTATGAGTGCCACGCGAATGCAACTCATCCTTTGACAGCATCGCCAGGTCATTCCCAAGCCGTTTTCTCTGGAGTTTCGGCCGAGCCACAACGGCCTTTTGAGCTCCGCGCCCGCCGTCAGAAGCGGCATCCTCCTCCTCGTCGGCTTCTTCGTCGTCGTCGTTTTCACCAGCTACCTCCTCCTCGGAGCCCTCGTCTTCATCTTCTTCCTCTTCCTCTTGCTCCTCATTCGCCTGGAACTCCTCGTCGGACGACCCGTCGCTGACGGGCTCTTTCCCCCCCTTGCGCGCCTTGGGCCCCCCGTCCGACTCGTCGCTCACGCCTGCGGCCTCAAAGGGGTCATTCGTGTATTTTGTCCTACCGCCCGTGAAGCGGGTGGATCTGCGTGCGCGCGGCATTTCGTTCAAGTCACTCTCACGTCAAAGATACCTCGGAAAGCGAGCTAGTAGAGAGATGAAAATAAATAACCGATATCAACTAATCTGAGGAAAGGGTCATGTCCGGATCGAACAAACAACCCACAACAAGCTAGCTCCACAGTCCTACTTGCTCAAACAGCCAATATAGTCACAGTCTGCCATGAGAACAGAGTCCACATTCATTCAATGGTACGAGCCGGACATCCATCCGTTCATACTCTTTGAAGTTTGCGGATTGTCTTGGCGGATCTGGACTGTGTACGTAATTTTACCTGGGTTTTTTTTTGGCATCCGGTACGCTGGTGGAACGGGAGGGGGGGTGGAAAATTACCGTGCCGCTTTTGGGTTAACTTTTGTATGTTTCAAGTTTGTACAATAGTATTACCAATGTACTGTATGTTATACCAAATCGGGGAATTTTTGGGTATTTGGTTGATTGTTGGTGAGATTTGTGTCTTCGATGAGGATAGATATGTTTGTATCTTTGGTTTGAGTGTGAGAGTTATATTGAGGGAATTGGAAAACACTGCTGCTGCTGCTGCTCAATATCACAGGCATGGGAGCAGCTTTCGACCCCACCTCCTATCCTCTTCCTCGGTGGGCCGCTATCACTATGCATCGGTGCCCGTCAAACGTCATTTCATGGGACTATAATCTCACAGCTTTTCTCTAGTCTAAGGTATTATAAATTGGACTAGTTGGACTGTTGAAATTATATCGTGCTCTCGCTCGTCCATCCTTTCCAAGCTTACAGACGTAAACCCGCCATACATACACCATGTCTCAATCCCACGCTGGTGTCCTCCACGAATATGTACGCAAACCCATCCAGCCATACGAAACCAAACGCGCTAACAGAGAACCCAGGCCCCAAGCTAACGGCCTTTGAATTCAATCCAAACCCCCAAAAGCAGCATAGCCTGCTCTTCGTCGGTGGGCTCACCGACGGCCTCCTAACAGTCCCCTACGTATCCGCCCTCGCAAAGGCCTTCGAATCCACAGAATGGACCGTCTTCAACGTCCTCCTCTCCTCGTCCTACCTCGGCTGGGGAGTCGAAAGTCTCGATAAGGACGTCACCGAGATCGCGCAGTGCGTGAACTTCGTCCGGGGCCTGAAACCCCAGGGCAAGATCGTTCTCATGGGCCATTCAACCGGTAGCCAGGACGTCCTGCATTACCTGCACTCCCCGAATCCGCTCCCCGGGCAGGAAAGTGCTCGTCCGGTGCTGGATGGGGCAATCATGCAGGCTCCTGTGTCGGATCGGGAGCATATCTTGCATTTGGCGAACTCGAATCAGGAGGTTCGCGGGGCGTATGAGCAGTTGGTGAATTTTGCGAGGGCGCAGGCGCCACAGTCGCTGTTGCCGCTGAATCTTACCGCCGTGGTCGGATGGCCGGATAATACGGGGATTAGCTGTCGGAGATTTCTGAGTCTCGCGAGCCCCGACAGTCCAGAGAAGCCTGCCGAGGATGATTTGTTTAGTTCCGATCTGAAGGATCAGAGGTTGAAGGAGACGTTGGGGCGGTTGCGGAGAGGGGGTTGGTGAAGGGCAAGTTGGCGGCGTTATATTCTGGAAATGATGAGTATGCTCTGCCATCGGTGGATAAAGAAGCCCTTTTGCGCAGGTGGAAGGAGGCAACGAATGCTGGTGGGGTGGAGAAATGGAGTGAATATAGCGGCGTCATTCCAGGGGCCGCGCACAATGTGAAGGATGAGGGTCAGGATTGGTTGGTGGAGCGTGTCCTTCAGTATCTGAACAGTGTGTAGTGTGCTGGAGAGGATACGGTCAGGGCACCATGAACGGTCGAACCACACATGAAAAGATGGAATCAAGCATTTTGGTATTTAATGTACATGAAACAAAGGTCTAACGAGGACCAACACATCAACAAGAAAGATTAAGAAAACTTTGCCGCAAGCGAGAAGAAAACGGAGGGTATACTAGTATATCGAAGGCCACTGAGCGGCCCCTGAACAAAGACCCCAAACAACAGAGGCCAAAGAAACCATTCAGACCTTCAGCCACAGGGTAAGCACGCCCTTCAAGTACTCCACAATCTCAGAACCACCCAGCTTGCTCTCTCCGTACAACCGATCAACGAAGGTAATCGGGCACTCTTGAACCTTGAAGCCCATGGCCTTGGCCCGTACCATCATCTCCATCTGGAAACTGTACCCCTTGCTCTGGGTGCTATGGATAACCTTCTCCAACACACTCTTCTTGTACAACCGGAAGCTGCCCGTCAAATCGCTCACCCCGGGCATGAGCATGACATCGGCGATGAGGTTGGCCGTCCGCGATGTAAACTTCCGGAATAGATCCCAGCCGTACACGCCACCCTTGACGTTGTCGCGACTGGCATACCGCGTGCCCGTAACAATATCGGCGTCCGATTCCTTCTGAATGCGGATCATCTCCGGGATGAATTTGGGGTGGTGGCTGAAGTCGGCGTCCATGATGATGACAAAGTTGCCCGTGGCGTACTGAAGACCGTGCACGTAGGCAGTTCCAAGACCGAGCTTGCCCTCACGCGGCTTCAGGTTGATATGTTCAGGGCCCCAGAGCTTCTGCAGCTGTTTGGCGACTTCGAGGGTGCCGTCGGGGGAGCCATCGTCGACGATGACAACTTCCCAGTCCAAGTTGCTATCGGTGGAGAGCGGTTAGCCGTAATCGGCGCAAGGGATGGAGTATCGGAGAGGATATGTCAAATAGCAAAGGGGGAGGCTAAAGCTCACTTTTCACGGAAGGTGCGCTCCAACAACCAGCAGATGATAGGGAGGTTCTTCCGCTCGTTGTAGGTTGGGAGAATGACCGAGTACTTGTTCTTTGCGGCGGCCATGTTGATTGTTGCAAGGGAGAGATTCCAAGGAAAACGTGGGGAAGATACGTTGCGACAAAGACTCCGTCCGCAATTGACTATTCGGTGTCAGAGAGTAGTAAGCTGCGTAGGTGCTGTGAGTGATGCTCCTGAGCGATGGGTTTGCTTGGCGGCGACCGCGGGAGATCCGCGTTCAGGAACCCGTGGCCTTTCTCCAGCCTCGTGGCGGTTCCATCATGACTCCGTGGCAATACAACCGTGACCTAATTCCCCAGGGTGATCAAGATCAGAAAGACGTACGGAGTAGATATACAAAATTTAAGCCACATGAGTGTCTACGATTTGGAAGTACGAACGTCTAACCTTAAGTTGTAGCACCTAAGAATCTATCTAGGGCCCTGGGGTGTAAAAACTTATAGCACCGTTGCGCGCTCGGGCTGATGTCAAGACTGGGATGCTAATGATGAAGATCCACCAAATGCCGTTTTCGAATGGGTTTCAATTTCTAAACCGCGTCCCATTCAATTAATCATATAGTAACTTTCCCAATTCCACCCGACCATAAGGGATATCGCCACGAGCCACACCACCCGTCCAGGCTTGTGGCCTTTCTCAAAACCCTTTCGATGGTTTCCCTTCATTCCCAAGTTGATTGTAAGGTCGATCGTACCGGTGCTCCATCTCTTCGTTATGTTTCTTCACATCATTGGGCACATCTGACTTCACGTTGCCTTCAGAGTCAATATTGGGTGAATGGCGTCCGTCAGTAATCGTTGGTTTTGCGTTGTTGGAGGGTGACATCCGAATAGGTCTACCTTCTGAATCCTCCTTATCTCGATCTTCTTGGGATGTAGAGGATCGGGGCTGAGAGTTTGAAGATGCTGTTGAGCCCTTGCTGACATCTGGGGCAGATGGTCCTACATAAGTGTTGTCAGATTCGGCCCACTGTTATGTCGGTTCTATCCAATTCACGTACCTGGATGTTCAATGTCTCGCGTGGGAGTATTCCGCGGATTGTTGGGCTGTTGAGCTTTCGTCTCTCCTTCCCCGCCGTAGGAACTATGAGCGTAGGCCCGCCATGACAGAGGAGAAACCTTCCTGGAACAGTAGAGTGAAGGGGTCGATGGATTGACCACCCTCAACAGGGAGCCTCTGCGCAAGATTGGATTCATATCGGATCGGAATTGGGGTAATCAATATGGATGGATGGAGCGTGAAGAGATGTTGTTTCGCGATATTATTTCGATTTGGAATATTTAATTACCGCGGATGTAAATCTAAGATTGTGCGACCTCTTGGTTTTTAACTAATTAACGAAATTCTCCCTGGTGGCACTCGTTCAGACGTTGAATCTCTGTTGATCGTCGGCAATGGAACCGGTGACGTCTTGACACGGTCATACTCTACAGGACCCGACTTATTGGGTGAGAACGAGAATGCTCCAGTTCTTTAGATTACTAAGTGAACCAAGGACAATCGAATGAGAAAACGAAGATCAGGTTGTGATCATTTGATGATCGAAAAATTATATTCGCCTATTCTGTCATGAAACCGGAACCAGTTCGACGACGGAACTGTCAAGTCATACGGTCACAAATAAAACCATGACCACCGGTATGGACAGTTAACTTGGGACACGAGCAGTTAAATATAGAAAAGTAGTCCAAGAAAAAGCCAAAAAGTCTGTTGGCCCAATGAAAAGAAAACGATGGACTGAGATTGGCCACCTGCACCGATCCAAAAAAAACGCCATAAAGTTGCGCCGGAACAAATCACGAAACATGCTGGACAAGACACTGGAGACAATGGCGTCAAAGCACATCATGGAAGACCAAAAATGACACGAGACAGGCCGCAAGGGGAACCGAAAGTGTACGATGCATGCCATAAACTCTGTAAACAATGCGAGACGTTCAGCACAGCCAAGATGCTGACCGCAGAAGAGAACCAATCATTCGTATGCACATGAAAGATAATGGACCGTTTCCACCGTTGGTAACGCCGACGCTTTACCTTCACGAGGGAGTACCAACCGATACTCCTCGGGGTTTATTGTAGATACCCTCTCTAATGACTCGCTAATCCGTCAATGCGACACAATAGCACACATGCTCATACTGTGCGGTCGCCGTGTAAGTCTGTGTCGCACTCGCAGAGTACTTGAGCGTTGTCGTCGGTGTCGGCTCCAATTCCTTGATTTGAATCGTCTGTTGTAATATGGGGCTAACGGAGCCGTCGTCCATAACTTGCATCTGCTGGCAATAGGGCGACTGGGCCTCTGGGTAATCTCTCTTCTCATCCATTTTGATTCGAAGAGGGTAGTTGGACACCGAGCTCGAAGAATCCGTAGCCTGTGAAGATGGCAGGTGTGTCGAACTGGAACTGTATTGAGCTTCCTTAGTGGATTGATTGAGGTACAGGAAAAATTCCATCACGGTGCTGTTCCACCAGCAAAACCAGGGTTTGTCGCCCGCCCGCGCCGTCTGCAAGCGATGGAATGCGCCTGCCATGACATCATCCTCACTGATAGCACGTTTTGAAGAAACTGAACTAGACGAGAAGGTGTCTTGGGGTACAATAACCAATTTATCAAACAAGGAAAAGAAGGTCAGGGCGGGACCGAGACTGAGGTCGCTGGAATCCATCATTAGGCTAAGTGACTGCGTAGGATTGGAAAAGTATGGTGCTTGAGCGCCATAAGTGAAAGACGACGAAATCGGTTCCCTGGCGAAGGTGATGTTACGCGATGATTCTGTTCCGGTCAGGGACACAGGTATTTTCCCCGACTTCATGCAATTCCACGAGGGATTGTAATCTTGCTCAACAATACAAAATTTCGATGAATTCTTCGGATCCGCAGGATCCAGTAATTCCCAGTAGGCGCAGCTGGTAAATTTGTAGGAATCGTGGATATGGGGGTGGCGTCCATCCGGGGGGTTTCTGTTTTGGTGACAATCTTCGGACCTTTCGGGTGATCGTTCTCGTCATTCGCTGCCTTTTTTGCTCCCAAAACGCCCCCAATGACACCTCCAATACATGCTCCCACCAGCATCACGACACCGACCAAAACAAGGGTCCAGACCGGTAATCCACAGCATGCCTTCTTTTTACCTTTACTCTTTAGCTTCTCCTCAAATGCCATGACACCGGTGACTGGTGCTGCGGTCGACCGCTCTTCATCATTATCTCTTCTATTCGCCATATTTTCCGCAACCAACGTATTCGACGATACTTCCGAAACTGGCGGCGGGGGGTGTTCATTGGGGCTATGAGTATTATCGCGTAGAGTGACGCCTGCGTCAGGAGTAGGATCGAAAGTACCCTCAACCTTGGGAACCACCGGATCGGGATACCGCGAGTAAGGTGGCAGCTGTTCTCTATGGCCATCGGGCCCGATCAAGTCCCCTACGTCGTCATCGGCACGATTGGGAGGTCGTTGATATGCCTGAGGGTGTCCGGGAAAGCCCACTGGGGGAATCATAGCATTGTCCATCTCTTCTTCCGCCACCACATTTTGTGGGTACATCGCATATGGATGTTGGGGTGCATTGGCATCGCCCAACGGTCGCTCCATCGGCCGTACTGTAGACGTAGTCGCGATACTGGGCGAACGACTTACCCCTACCTGTGGATACATCGCATACGGATGGCTCGGGCCTGTAGCCCCAGTGTAAGGGCTCAGCGCCCGGGGAGGCATGGAAAATCGTGACGAAGTGCTCTGACTGCG